AATTAAAAGGTAATGGTGATCTCTTGGAAGCTGTATTTTCAAAATTTCCCGTTAACTCATGTTCTGTTTCAACATTTACATTTAGAGAACATATTGTGTTCCCTTTAATTTATTTTTTTCTTTGGTCTTAAAAAGGTCCTAAAAAGTCTTAAATTTACCTTCATAAAACTTGCAGAAACTGTGTCTTAAAGGGATACTCCACCCAAAAATGAAAATGTTGTCATTAATCACTTACCCCCATATCGTTCCAAAACCCGTAAAAGCTTCGTTCTTCTTCGGAACACAATTTAAGATATTTTGGATGAAAACCAGGAGGCTTGTGACTGTCCCATTGACTGCCAAGTAAATAACACTGTCAAGGTCCAGAAAAGTATGAAAGACATCGTCAGAATAGTCCATCTGCCATCAGTGGTTCAACCGTAACGTTATGAAGCGACGAGAATACTTTTTGTATGCGAAGAGAACAAAAATAATTGATTAATGACAAAATTTTCATTTTGGGGTGGAGTATCCCTTTAAGATGTTTAAGATCCCCTTCTCATGGGTTAGTTCACTGATCATGCATAAAACACTGCCTTAATTAAAAACGCACTGGAATTTCTCCATCTGAAAGGGTGTTTTTACATTCTCTACAGGATTTGCGAGAAGGTACCTGAGGGATGCGTAGAAAACGGGGGCAGAGAGAACGGGCTCTTCATTCATTTTCATCACCAATCAGCACGCTGCCTCTTAAATAATGCATTGATCTCTGGGCTTGCTGTTAATTCCCCTGTTATCAAGATGTGCAAAGTGGACATGGCAGCGCTTGATGGATGAGCGGTACAAGCCAGCTGTCTATTTGCTTTGACAGACATATTCCCACCGCAGTGGAAGCACAGGCAACCTTTGAATATCAACGTCTTATCTGTCTTTCAAAGTGGAGCAGAGGACAGTGGCTCATTAAACCACAAGCAGTGCTTTTCAAAAACAACTTACAAGTTATAACAGCAATTCCCATTTAAAGCTCTTTCATGGCAGATGCAAAGTTATTTATCACTGAGCTTTAAGCAGAAATGGATTGCACATATTCACTTGTCTGTATACAGACAGCTGTATTCTGTACCCATCTGCCCACAAATGAGATGATATCATGAGAAGAAATGACTGAGTGAGCATTATGGTTGAGACTAATGAATATCATTTCCTTGATGTATTTTTTTACTGAAGCATACTTCCTATATAGTATGTAAAAAAACACTCACTGAGATTCTTCAGTGTGCAACCAATGAACACTTTTCTGTCCCATGAGGCCAAGAACTGAGGAGTGTCAGATTTGAAGATAAAATAATGAAATATACACAAAAAGTGTGGGGTCGGTATGATTTTTTTAACGTTTTTGAAAAAAGTCTCTTAAGTTCACCAAGGCTGCATCTATTTGATTAAAAACACAGTAAAACAGTAATACTGTGAAATATTATTACAATTTAAAATAACTTGTTTTCTTTTGTAATATATTTTATAAATTTATTCCTGTGATGCAAAGCAGAATTTTCAGCATTATTACTCCAGTCTTCAGTGTCACGTGATCCTTCAGAAATCATTCTAATATGATGATCTGATGCTCAAGAAACATTTCTTATTATTATCAGTGTTGAAAACAAATTGTACTGCTTAATATTTCTGTGATCATTTTTTTCAGGATTATTTGCATTCATTTGAGATAATAATTTCTTTTTTTGTAACAATGTAAGTCTTTACTGTCACTTTTGATCAATTTAATGTATCCTTGCTAAATAAAAGTATTAATTTCTTAAAACGGGAGTGTAAAACATGAATTATGATGGAGGGCTGTGAGCCAGGCTACTATTTTAAAGTGTTAAAGTGCTTATTTCGGGTAAAACGGTACTTATTTAACAACACTAACCAATAATTTTTCGTGGTTGTTGTTGTGAGCATGTTATATGCCAGAGAACATATGGGTCAGTCATGCTTACAGTTAATTTAGTCAGCTATTAGCAACATATTTGCATAACGATGACTAAACAGACTTGGAATAAAAACCACAAAATTTCAATTTGATTTTTATTGTGTCATGACATTTTTCAGATCATCCCTACATCCCTAAACATGAAAGAAAGATAACTATACACAATATACAGAGACAAGTTAAAACAACTGGTTTAGGGCCTCGTTTGATTGGCATGAATACATTATTTAGTTCTTTTGTTTATATATATATATTTATATATATATATATCAGATTAAAGGACCAGGAGAACATGTCCTCTTATTGCAAAATGTAGAACTGACATCTCAAACTCTTCCATAATTTTGCATTAAATATTACTGTATGTTCTGTGTGCACACAACAGGATAAATATAATGCTGACGATGTAATTATTCAAAAGAGCTCAGATGTGGTGAAGGTGCGTCCTCTGCTGGTCACAGAGTGAAGCTACACCTGAATTCAACTTTTTTTTTTTTTTTTGGTTCACACCGTTTTATTGGTTCACATTTGAGATTTTTTACAACAATTATCAAACAATTATATCTCCTAATATCAGGTTTTTTTAGACAGCAATTAGATTAGGAGGGAGATCATATCAAGACTTGTACCTAAGTCTCAGTGCCGTAGAAAATGAAAAGAAATAATAATTAGAGAAACAGTAAGAGAAATAGGCTAATTTCACACATCTTCTTAAGAGTTTCAGAAGAGAAGTCAAAAATGGTTCAGATTTGGCAAGATACCAAAGCCAGTTTTTATAGTTCTGAGTTCTGACTGCATTTCAGCAATTGACTCATTTGTGTCTATTTTTTTTTATCCTAAGGAATTTTATGAGAAACAAAATAACATCATGAACACTTCCATTGAGTCTTTTGTGCTGTGAAAGACTATCCTCTGAACAATAACATTTTCTTCTGGGATTTCATCTTAGCTTGGTTACCATGAAAGGCATCCCCTTAAAGGGGTCATATGATGCTATTTTAAAGATATGTGGGGGCATGTTAGAACGAGCCGTTTTAGGTAGGCATGGCTGACTCTTAACTTTTATAAAGAATATCTCTTTGGATTTGAGACTTTAGTCTTTGCAACTTTACAGATCTTCTTTATGCACCAAGAGCTTGTAACACTCCAAAGAGAAAGGAAAACTTGAAATCGCATCATATGACCCCTTTATTAATATGCTCATAATGATAATTCATATATCTAAAAATATATGTTTATTGGTAAATATCAGCAGTGGTTGTTATACCCATCTGAAGCCCAGCAATAAAATAAAATAAAAGATATTATATTATATTATGTAATTCCCTCAAAATTATTATAATATAATATAATATAATATAATTAGTGGTGTCAAAATTAGCGCGTTAACGCAGGCGATTAATTTTTTTCCGTTTAACGCGGGGATAGGGTTGGCCACCCCACTCACAACTGCTGCTTCTGTCACTTTTTCTCTTGACAAGAGCATTCAGTACTCCGACTTTGCCACAAGGAAAAGTGTGTACGCCTGCTCAGACCCTGACGTGGCGGTAAGTACTTTTCCACGTCAAAGACCGTTTTTATAAATATGAACGTTGCCGTGGATTTTAGCATACGCACACTCTAAGATCAAATCTGTGCGTACGCACATTTTATAAACGAGGCCCCTGAAGTGGTTCAGAAAAGGTAAAAAGGGTTGAGAGAAAATATGATGCGTGTCAGATCCAGCAGCGGCAGCTCTTAAAGAACCTAATAAACAACCTAATAACCAGCTGCTGTGATGTCTATTAATCAAAGGACAAAGAAAAAAAAGAGGAAAAAATAACTTTTCTAGCTTTAAGTATTCATCTATATTTAATTTAGAATTTCGTGTTTGATAACTTCAATGTCTGTATATTTCTGCTGAAGGGCACAGGTAAACATGACATTTATTATAATGGGTTTATGTGAAGATTGTTTTAAGTTAACTTAAATTAGATATTATTTTTTAAAGTCTAATACATTTTCAAATTAATAGCTCTCAATTATACTGTGATGTTGAATGGCTATAGTCAATGGTTAAATATTAGGGGGGTTTTTAGAGAAATCAGTATTGGTATCATTGATACTGGCCTTCAGTCATAAAAAAAAAGATGCCATTAAACAAATATAAAAAAATATATGTTGTCTTTATGTTGTTTGTACATTAATTTGAAGATTGAATGTGAAATTATTGCAATATAAAAGTATATTTAAAATCTTTAATGTAGCTTTAAGGATTCATCTATATTTAATTTAGAATTTAGTGTTTGATAACTTAAATTTCAATTTCTTTATATTTCTGCTGAAGTGCACAGGTAAATATTACATTTATTATAATAAATGTTAAAATTGATAGCTGTCAGTTATACTGTAATGTTGAATGGTTATAGTCAATGGTTAAATATTAGGGGGGTTTTTAGAGAAATCAGTATTGGTATCATTGATACTGGCCTTCAGTCATAAAAAAAAAGATGCCATTAAACAAATATAAAAAAATATATGTTGTCTTTATGTTGTTTGTACATTAATTTGAAGATTGAATGTGAAATTATTGCAATATAAAAGTATATTTAAAATCTTTAATGTTAGGTGGTATTATTAATTTCAGAAAAATGTGTGATTAATTAGTTATTTTTTTAATCGATTGACAGCACTAAATATAATATAATATAATATAATATAATACTTTCCACTTTTGCTTATATTGTCAGTGTGTCATTTTCGCCGTATGGGGGCGACATTACTGCAGAAATCACACACTTTCACTCACCATCATCATCTACAGAAGTGTGTGTGTGTGTGTGTGTGTGTGTGTGTGTGTGTGTGAGTGAGTGAGTGAG